AGTAGTATTTTATTTTATTTTTTTTAAATAATGTAATTGCGTGTAGATTTTTTTGTTTTCCTCTTAACGTTTGTTTGTTTATCTGCTGGTGAACTCGCTGCGCTCCCTCCTCAGTCGCGCGCTTCGTACTAATCACGCTGCGCGCACGCGCCGCTCAAAGGCGACTTGAGCGCGCGCCAGCAGCAGTTTCCAGCTGTGCTCGTGAACCGGACCGTTAGTGTGTCCTCCGGTGGACCAGGCGCTCGGTCGGTCTGTCGGTCTGTCGCTGCTCTCTCTGCCCGCTCTCCGCAGCTGTCTCCCCGGTGTGGATCCAGCCTGTTGCCCTGCTCTCCGGATTCAAACTCTCGTTCATCGGCTCCCTCCCCCCCCGCTGACAGCTCCGGGAAGTTTTGGACCGGTTCTGTCTGTCCACTCTGAGGCTTTTATACCCGGTTCTGCTGGTTCGGGCTGCCTCCCTCGGCTCCACCATGGCTTGGAGGGTCCCAGTTATGCTGTCAGTCATCTGCGCTCAACTCACGGCGGGAGTCCCGGACGGACCGGCCGTTCAAGGTAACAGAGCGGACCGGCTCAAGTAGCTGGAAGTGGCCGGACAGTGCTTTTACTGCACTCAGGTCCACTTTTGAAGTACTTTAAGGCATTTTGTTCAACTGCACTACATCAACATTTTACAGAAAACGGCAGGTAAACACTGTCTTAACTAACCGTTAGTTAATAAATCATTTAATACTGCACTAATATTGCATTCATTTAATATTGCAATATTGTACAGATTTTCCTGTAAAATGTTAATATTTGACTTTATTTTGTACTCAAATTGTAATTCATTGGATGTTTACTTACAGTACTCTACAGTAGAATGTGAGGTTTACTGTTTAATACTGAATTATATGCAGTATTCATATAGCATTGTCATTTTAATCAACATTAATTAACATTCAGCCTTAAAAAATATATAAACACTGCAAATTCCAGACATCTATCATAAATAACGATCCCAGCAAACTGACAACTGTGCCTTTACTCTTTAGTTACTCTTTTAGGTTGCCAGGTTGTGATAAATCCTCCTTACCAGTAGACACTTTAACTGACCAAAGTTCATTTGGAAAAACTTACATCATCACTTACACCCACAAACATGTCATATATTAATTCACCATTTACTTCTGCAAAACTAATAATAGTCCAGATGTAGTTGTTGTCTTTGGTTTTGTGTCTCTTTGCAGTTGTTTGTGTCTGTTGACATTTGTTTCTCTTTGAAGTTGTTTTGTGTCTCGTGCTATTAGTTTTCCTCTGCAGTTGTTTCGTGTCCACTTTTTTGACTTTTATGTGTCTTTGCAGTTGTTTTGTGTCTTTCTTTTGTGGTTGTTTTGTGTCTCTTTGTGTTATTTGTAGTTATTAGTGTGTCTTTGTGGTTGTTTTTTGTATATTTCCTTGGCATTTGTCTCTTTGTAAGTTTTGTGTTTCTTTGTAGTTGTTTGTGTCTATTTGTTAACATTTGTTTCTCTTTGTAGTTGTTTTGTATCTTTAGGTTGTCGTTTTGTGTATCTTTGTGGTCATTTTTTGTCTCTCTGTAGTTGTTTGCTTCTTTGCTGTTGTTTTGTGTCTTTGTTTTGTGGTTGTTTTGTGTCCCATTGTAGTTATTCGTGTGTTTTTGTAGTTGTTTTTTGTGTATTTTCTTAATATTTTTGTCTCTTAGTAGTTGTTTTGTGTCTTTTTGTGTTTTTTGTGTGTTTTCTTTGTAGTTGTTTTCTACATATTGTCATTTTGTGTCTCCTTGAGGTCATTGTGTGTCTCATTGAGTTTGTATTGTGTCCTATTGTAGTGGTTTTGTGTGTGTTTGCGTCATTTCGAAATAAACCAGAACATCTACACCACCAGGCCTTACAGATAGCATGAGGTTCTTCTCCTGAGTAGTTGCCAAACGTGTCGCTTGTTACTGTGACCAAGCAGCTCTGTGTTTGGTTCATCTGTCCAGAGCTCATTATTTTAAAAAGCCTGCTCTTTGCCTTCATGTTTACTGGTAAAGGCTTTTTCCTGGAACGCCTCCCCTGTAGCTCAAGTGATCCCTTTCTAATTGTAGCTGCAGCACTTTGACACCAGCAGCTGCAGAATTACCTGCAGATCCAGGGATCAAACTTCGGGCTTCTTGAGGACTCTTTTTCCATCTCTGCTCTTGGGATGAATTTACAGATGATTATCTACAGTGGAATGATTGATATTTAATCACTTGGAGATCTTTTTAAATCCCAAAGACACCCACAGCCATTTCATGATGATGTCACACACTTCAGCACTTCAAAAAGAACAGCAGAACCTCTAAGAAGAGGTTTAAAGAACCTTATACATCTGCTTTTTTTTTGCATTTAAGACATCTGCGAAATGACTGAAGTCCTCTCACCTACAGAAAACTCTGCTCCTTACCTGCTTGAAATGCTTGTTTGAAGTCCAGACTTTTCTCCTGTTACTTATCTACATCACCATGTAACAAATTTGCATAACACTTGTCTAGAGGCTAGTTTGGCAAACAAAAAATGAGCAGCTGCCTTGTTGTCCGGCGTTATTTTCTAGCTAGATTTTCTTCTGCAAGGGCTACATCCATCAGATCTCAATGCTGTCTCCACAAGATTGCTTTCCCATACAACTGAAATGCATTCTTAGTAATGTTTTTTGTGGAAAAAAATTGATTTTAAGGTAAACATATTTTCTAACCTATGCCGTTGTTTCATTTATTTGAGTTTATTGTCTTTGTCTGCTGGCACTGTTTCAAAGACAGTTTCCACACTAAAAAAAAAAAAATCATGTTAGTCCTCAATAAAGTAGTTTAAGACAACAGCATGCATCAATCTTTTTGAATTCTGACTTCTTGAAATGAAATTATTAATAACTAGCAAACAACATTGAGTTAGTGGAAATAGCTTGTTCCCCTCAATCAAAGGTATTTTAAATCATTTAATAATTATTTAACAATTGGTTGCATGTTTATTAAAGTGATTAAACACACAAAATTAGTTATTTAGAAATCATTTTAAATTATAATCTCAGTTACCATTATTCTGAATATTTATGAAGATCTTAAGTTGGCAAATTAAAAACATGAAGTTCCTGTCAAGTAGACAGGTGAAGGGATTTAAAATCCTGATCTTGATTTGAAGAAAAATGAGTTATCAGACCAATTTTATTAAGTTACCTCAACTTGAATTTAGTTTTAAATCAAGTAGTGTAGAAATTTTAGTTTAAATTACACATATTAATAAGTTGTACAACATTCCTATGTCAACATACATGTTAATTTAATAATTTCATCTAAATTATATATTTTTTTAAGAATATTTTTGTGTTGTAGCCATGCCTTTAATTAATGCGAGACTGGTTCAGTTGAATTACATTTAAGCGTTCAAGGGACATAAGAGCATCTTTTCCTCATTTTATTTGGTTGTAACTTTAGCTCTTAATGCATGAAGTCAAAAGTTAACTCAAAGTTTGTTTAAAAGTTGTTTTTTTTCTTACTGTTCCACAATAAAGCAAAACAGCCCCACTTCAGGATGCATTATAAGCAAAGATAAAAGTCATGGATTCACAAAAATAAGCTAACAAGAAAGTGTAAGATAAAAGATAGGCTACCTAAGTAAATTACAGATATATCAAATAATATAAAGCACTTGAGTGTTTGAGATCACATTTTAAGTTTTAACCTGATGAAAAGCCACCGTCAGATTTGTGAAATTTTAGTTTTATTCATTAAAGAGAAGATCATTTCTTATGTCCAGATCAAACACTTTGTATCAAACAGAATAAAAACAGTGTATTTAAACTCTCCTTGTTCCAAAATGTGTTTTAAACAGTTGGTTAAATCAAATCCAGGTTGGACAAGTGTAAATGTGGTCTGCGGAAGTCGAGTACTTGATCCCATCTATCATACTAGACGCATGTCCTGGAAAATCATTTATTCAAAAGAGAGCCCTGTCAAGTGTGCAGCTGTGGGTTTTGGGTTACAGATGTGCTGCAGCTCTTTTCCAGAAGGTAAAACACTTCACCCGAAGAATCAGCTAAAGAGCTAAAACATGTTGAGCTGGAGAAGGATTTTCCACCAACCTGGCAACCCAGAAATGACTTTAAACAGCTTAGAAATGGAAAAACAGGTTGTAGAAGCATCAACACTGTAAGGAGTCAAAGAATATTTGTTCAGATAAGTTCAGTTCAAATGGAGAGCCTGAGCAGAGTGGCAGATCAATAAAACACGTGTTGCTCTTTATCGGTGTATTGTAAAGTCACTGTTGTAGTCCTGAAGTTTTTCTACCAGTGTGGGGTCTTGTGTCGACATGTGATAACTAGGGTGTCTCAATTAAGGTTTCTTTTATCCTGCCCCGAGTTGTTTAATATGGAATAGGGTTAGAGAAGTCCCAATTTGACTTTCCTAGATAGTACACACTTTAAGTACATTAAAGTTATTTAAACCAATCGAGTGTTTATGCTTAACAACTGAATAGCTCTGCAATACATTAAGAAAAAATTGAATTTCTGCATCCAATCTGTTTGTTAATGTTCTGTACGTGGTCAGGAACCTTGTCATAAGGCTCCAGTAGGACACTCTCTGACATGTAGTGTGGGGAGGGTAGGATGCACTGTGGCTCCACAAGCTCCAAAAGACAGTGAAGCCTGTATTTTCTACATTCATGTCGGAAAATGAATTGTAGATTAGCTGTTGAGCCTAATCATAGTGCCTCTTAGTGTTTAATACGTCACAGACTACAGGCATAATGGCAAGTAGAGAGCATTGTGGGGGTTTAGCTAGCAATGGGGACAATGACAATGACTTTTGTGACGTTTAATGAACTGGGAAATGTTCTAGTGGTTATTAAGAAAGTTTTAGGGTTATTCAAGGTTCTGGTTATCAGTAAAGAGACTTTAGGGGTCATAAAATAAGTTCTCTACATCACTAAAGAGGCTCTCTGGTTCATTTAAATGTGATAATGGTTATTAAGAAGGTTTTAAGGGTCCTTCAAGAGGTTTCAGTAGTCCACCAAAGAGATTTTGACACTTAGTGAAGAGATTTTCAGTGCCATTGAAGAGATTCTGTAGGTCATTAAAAGGTTTTGCTGGTTATTAGGAAAGATTTAAGGATTATTTAAAAGGTTCTGCTGATCACTTGGGAGGTTTTATGAATTGCTGAAGAGGTTCAAGTGGTCATTTTTGAGATACCATGTGTCATTAAAATGTCCTACTAGTTATTAACAAAGCTTGAAGGTTCATTGAAGAGTTTCCAGTGATCACTGATGAGGCTCTATCAGTTGTTGAAATGGTTCTCGTGGTCATTAGGTTCTGTTGGCCATTAGGATGTTCTAGGGTTTATTCAGAAAGTTTTAAGGGTCATTCAAGAGATTTTAATGGTTCTTTGGGTTGTTTAAGAGGGTCTATGGTCACTGAGGAGGTTCGGTGGGTTGTTGAGGAGATTCTTGTGGTCAGCTGGGAGGTTATGTCCATCACTGCAGAGATTCTGTGGATCACTCACTCACTCTTACCATTTCCACTCAAACACTCGGCCTCAGCTTCAGTCATACGTGAGTGTGTTGTTTTTGGACAGAGGCATCCTGAGCGGAGGGCAAGCTGAGACAGATTATCAGCTTCTTGTTCTTCCTCTCTGGTGTTTGTGTTCGCTGGCTTGAATCAAATGCACTTTAGTTTCACCAAACAAGCCTGCAGGGAGACATTTCATGTATGAACAGGTAAACTGAGTCACTCCTTTTAACCACATACAACAATATCAACTGTAGCCATAGCAACAGTTAGTACTCAATGCATGGCAGACCTTGGTATTTTCTTCCTTTTTCCTGTATTATCTTTAGTTATCTGATTTCACTGGCCTCATTGCATTACTTCAAGATTTAATCCCGGTTTTAACACTGTGTAGCTTTTTTTTTTTTTTTTTAAATGGTGTTTAATCACAATTATGATTGTGAAAGACATGTATAAAAAGAGGCTGCAAGGTAGCTCGGTGTTTAGCACCGTTGCCTCACAGCAAGA